ACAGCCACCTTCTCCACAGCCACATGTCACTCCACAAGCTGAAAGGGATGGACAGACATTCAACTCAAAACACGAGACACACTCAACACAGGTATAGAAACATAGCAATAGTTTCCTCAACATAATGAGCCAACAGTGCCTTAGGAGGTATGTTATTCCAAAACTCCAAACATCACATTCGCACACTTGGCTTCTCTTCAAACCTGCTCATATCATTTTCTTGTAGAATACTGTGCATTTGGAAATTGGGATATTATAAAGTAGATGGAGGAGAAGGAAGAATAGTTGGTTCATTTAAATAAACATAAACATTACACACCCACGTGAATCCCATTGAGCAAATAAAAGGCATGTTCTATGATGCCAGGCTACTCCATGCCCTGCTAACAGCCGAGGTGCCTATGGTACACGTCCGCTAGGTTCTGGAGCCCAGGAAGGCACTGCCAAATAAAGCCCTGCCTGCATCCATGCAGACACAGGCTCAGTCAATGAGGCCGGAGACTACATGCAGGTTCGGTCCAGGGAGCAAGGAGAAACAATGGAGGAGTGACAACTGTCAATTCTGTTGTCCTTTATCCATCTTTTGTCTCAAACTACACCTATTTGCACTTCCCCAATTGCTAAGAACAGGACAGTAGTTACATTTGCTACATTTGAATTGGTATTAAGACACCAAGGCAAGGTTTACCTCTATCACATGTAAAGTGGCACACTGAAGGTGCAAACCTTTGGTCTGAACTAGCATGCACTTCTTTGCCTATCAAATCACTATCCATGCTGGTTGGCCACTCCTTCCATCTCCCGAGATATTAAGGAACTAATGTTAGAAATGGAGCCAGTTTCAATCTCTCTCTTTGAAAGTGCACACTGTGTCTGGAAATGCAGCCCGGAACAGAAATTGTTGCTGCAGAAGTGCCCTGTTGTGGGCAAACCAAGACGAAGAAACTATATTAGCTGAGTATTGTTTCAATGTCTGGTGCCATCTTATAAGAATTTTGCACTGCTGTCTTTGTCTCCAGCACCTCATCACGTGATGTGTGCCTCACCATGTGACAACCCAGCTGACCATTTGCAGCAGGTAGCATACCAATCATGCTCAACCAGCCCACGCTTACCAGACTCAGAACAGTAAGTTCACAATTAGATGTGATTTTGCAACTGGCCACTTTTTATTAAATGTTCCAGCTGTCTTGGAATTATACCAAAAACCAAATTAACATTATCAGCTGGGCTTGCAGTGCAATGAATGTGCATGTGCTGGAAGCTATATATTATCTTATATATTAAAGGATACTGTTTTATGTAAGTAAAAATAATTTATACACACATTGTACTTTTCTCATGAGAATCAAAAAGGGGTAATGGAAACTCCAATCACTGCTGCATTCCAAGGCAACATCCTGGCCAGGGTCAAACTCCCTGGTCTGAGAACTAAAATGACAACTAGTCCTGTTTCATCTCCATGCTAACAATAGCCTAATCAATCAGCATCTTCTTCTCGTGCTGTATAAGCTTCTCTCCTTATGTTTCTTGCATCCTAGTCCTAATGGATGCAAGATGAAAAGTCTTCACTTTTTGTCTCTTCAGTAATATTCATATTTTCAGGGCCTTTAAATGTGCCATTAACAAATTCTCCTCCATTGTCCATCAGAAATGTAGCCAGTGGTGCCCATACACTTTTCCACGGCATTATTTACAAGCACCCTTTTATGTTACCATTAGTGTAGACACACTGAATCTGGTTGCACATCTACAAAACGTAAAATGAAAATATTGTTGACTTATCCCAAATCTTTTACTTAACTACTGGCCAGGATTTAAAGTCTTAATGTTAATGGTACGCATCCAATAAGCCATGGTGGCATCATCTCATATTTTTAAATTTACACATTTTCCGTCAATCTCTTTGATGTGTTTGTGTATTCATCAAACACAACTGGGTCCTTAAGTAAGATTTTCAACTTGACAAGAAGGAAGAGTACATTGTCTACATGACGTGAAGGCAATTAGCATTCTTCCCTCTCCAAATTGTTATCGTTCAATACTACTAACATTTCCTTAATACTCTGAATAGAAATGCCATGTATTTTTTATGGGAATGCAATAATGCTTGATTGGATAAAGTGAGCATCTACTAACATCCAAAAACAATTGTTTTATCGTGTTCAGCTTCATTTATGCATTCTTCAATGGAAGTCTTGCTCAGCAGCAAGGGTTATCTCTGTAGACACAACATCTGTACTAATAAAGAGGTTTATTCCAACAATTTTGCATGGAACAACCAGTCTTTTCTGTGATTTCAATGTGTTGTCATCCCTGAACCCAAGAAGTAGAGTTCTCATATCCACTGACCTTTGATCCTCATCACTGAGTGACTCTAAATACCATTTTAAACTAATCCACCAAACATTGTCAAGGTACAACCATAATCTAACACAGTGATTTTGACACTCATTACTGCTCTAAAAGTTTGTCACTAATAACTCTCTCAGACTGTTTATCATCTCTTCAAATTCTAAGTTCTGTGCCATGCATCACTTCAAAAAGCCTGTTGTTCCAGTTTGCGAAGTTCATTGCATAATGATACTTTTAAGCCAATCGGAACCATCTGTTAATCGTTCCTTGCGCATTCCTAGAGTTCATAAATCGATTAATACTGCTCCAATCCTATCACTTTCCAGATCTGCTAAAAATGCCTTCATCTTCATTCCTTTTGTTTGGAGCCCTTCTGTTTTACTCATGTAATCTTATATAAAAGTCCATAATACACTGACAATCCATCTTGCCTTTCAAAAATCTATCAAAGTCTGATCATGCCTCATAGACATTTAAATGATCAATTTTTCTTGTAAATTTCACACACCTTCACCTTCCTTAGGATTCAACTGAGAGTCATCCCGTTCACAAGATACTTTGCTTTTGATTTTACTTTTGTTAAAAAGCAATATTGGTAAAAACATAACCTATGTCCAGATATCTATGTTATTTTACAACAGCTCATAAGATTCAAATTTATAGGACATTGGTGGCTAATAATTTACACTTGCTTTCAGCCATCTTTCACAAAAATAGCTCAGATTATACTTTTCTGCCTGAATAATTTTTTTTTAAGTGTTCAACCTCCAGCTTTAGGTAAACACCTTCTGCAACCACATTAATTCATTCAGATGCCAGATGGCAAAATGGAAACTAGATGTCAATCATTTTACGCAATTCTGGGTTCATTTACAAAATGTAACATTACATGTCTATTTCCTCCCGTGGCAAGAAGTCACTCTTTACATTCCTTTGAGCATAAATCAGGAACTGAGGTACAAATTAACTAAATACAGGCCTTAAAGGGCTGTGTTACACAAACCAGAATTTTACCATTGTTACAATCCTTTTAGTTTGGAGCTGTAAACTGTGACTTCAAAGCTGAAGGTGACCACTGGACTGTGAGCAGTGGCTCATTTTAAAAAGAGGGGATCATTCTAACAGCTGTTTGTTTGAGACCAGGCCTGTAGGTTAATTACAGGTTGATTTTTGTTCCAAATACTCTACAGACATTTTACCTCCAGAAAGGCATTATGCTCAAACAGATGGTTAACACTTGATCTCTGCAGGACCTCACAGGGAAGTTGGTGCCAAGAGAATAGTGAAAAAGAACAAAGAGATATCAAAGTTTGCACTGGTTTTGAACAGTGTGTTTTTGCCAGTAGGATTGTGGGTGTCAAAGCTACAGGAAGGAGATTGGTTACTCTCTAGTTACCACCTTATTGAAAGTTCAGAGATCAGAATCTCAGATATAAGAGTTAAATGAATATCCCTCATGGCCTACTGGAAGCTGTTTGCAACAATGGTGTCTTCAGAAACCAAGCAAGACACAATTCCATGTCTCTGTGATATTATGGATCATGGAGACTACTTAAGTGAACGAGCTAGTTACATCTTATTTAGTTTTCTTTTGAATTATAATTTAAATATATGTTTGTCAGTCTGTCTTTGAGAAGGTAGGGTTAGAATCAAAGGAATTTGGGCTTAAATCATAGACATTAATTAGATTACCTCGTTGTTTAACTTTATTCTGCAAAAGCTACTGTATTATTAATACTGTAAACTGTTAATTCCTTCATTTAAGCAATAAACTTGCCGTCTGGTATCAGTTATTCACAAAGTTTGGTTAGGAACCATTGGGGTCAAATTTAAAATTCAGTACTTTAATTGAGTAAAATTGAGTACTTTAATTTTACTGTTTTGCAAATACAGGGATATCGAGGCTGATTTGACTTGACCATCTGTCTGTCTTGATGTCGTAACATCAGAAAATTATCAAACAAAAACAAAATGCTGTTTTAGGTGGAGACAATGCATTCTGGCGTCTGTGGTATCTACTGGCACAGGAAGGCCTCAACAGCACCAGTGAACACTCTCTCTTTACCCTCTTACCGAATAGAAATCTGTCTATCTCAGCTTGAATATATTTAATGATCCACTCAACAGTCCTCTGCTGTAAAGGACTCCAAAGATTCATCCTCAGAGAAAAAGATTCCTCCCCATGTCTGTTTTAAGTGGGTGACTCCTTATTCTGAGATTATACTCTCTGGCCCTGGGTTCTCCCACAGGAGAAGCAACTTTTCCCCATCTACTCTGTCAAGCCCCTAAAAATCTTTTACGTCTCGATAATGTCTCCATTCATTCTTCTATACTTTAACAGACATAAACTATCCAACTTTTCTTCATAAGAAAATGCCTCCACAGCTGAAATTAACTTAGTCCAGAAAGCTCACTGTCTTTAAAGCCAGTATATCTTACTTCAGACAAGAGGACAAAAACTGTTCACAACATTCCAGGTGTGGTCTGACCAGTGCCTTGTACAGTTTTAGCAAAGACTGCCCCACTTCTATACACCATTCTCTTTGAAATAAAGGGTAACAATCCATTTGCCTTCTCTATTACCCACTGAACTAATTGCAGTCAAGTGCTGCAACTTTTGATAAAATGATGGAAATGCAACTCACCTGTCAGCCTGTAGATCTTCTGTCCCCTCATCCTGCTTGTGTTTGTTTCTCTTCCTAACATGTGGGATAATGTTCCGTTTTGCAAACTGTTGATCATGAGGTTTTGGATCTTGTGCTGACACAATATCTTCAATGTCTTCCACTAATGAATCACAAGCAGCCGGCATGATCTACAAAAAAAAGGAGGAATTCCATATAATTCCATTATAGATTTTAAACAGTCACTTTTAATTTTGGTGTTGACTTTTATACACATTTCTGTATAAGCGGTAATTAAAACACAATTTGCACAAAATAGATATCACTTTCTTAAATGAACAAATGCTCATTTTCAATGTTAACTTTAAATCAATTACTGGTATCCCAAAGACAATTGAGCTGAAACTCCAGATGATTGTAGGCATTTTAAACTTTCAATTAGGCATTATTAACATTATTTTGGAGATTAAGAGTTAACGATATTTACATCACTGCTAAATGTTTTAGAAATCATAGAAAGTGACAGCACAAAAGGCAAGTTGGCCCATTGTACCTTGCAACGGGAAAAGGTCAGTAGACAGTTACTGATCATCACAAGTATGCAACTTACAATTAGATGTTAACATGTTATGACATGATTGCATAATATAACCATGTACAGCAACCTAAAACGTAAATGATGTGAACACTATCGGATAAAAATATAGGTGATTAAACATGTAATCTTTTGATTGGAAATGAATCTGCAAGAACAGTATAATACCATTATTTTTGTAGTAAACTTTGACTTATGCTCCATCTTTGATAGACATTTACGCACGAATACAAATCTGAACAAAGATTTTTGAAAGGTTCAGCAGTGAAGCTGGTAGGAATCAAGGTTGGAACCTGAGGAGAATGTTCAGCTGCAAAGAAAGACAGGTTCCAAAAGGGGTGAAACAGCGCAGCAGCAGTTGTAATCGTTTCAACAATGCTAAGTGGGAATGAAGAAAACTTGTTTACTAAGGTAGGAATGCAAAGGAATGTAGAGTATCTAATTAAGGGTGCAGATGTTCAGGAGCTACTATATGGGGAAAAAATTGTACTGGATATTTTTGTAATGAACAACATGTCAATTGGATAATTTAAAACTGAACAATTTTATTCCATGAAGATTTTCAATTATTATCATCACATCTCAAAGTGTCTCATATACTATGCTATAAATAATAACTTGAGGTGCAGTGACTGCGTTAGTGACAAACATGCAACTGTTAGTGATCTCACCAGTCTGCAGAAATCATCTCAGTTGATGAATTGTACGTAAAATGGTGTTCCTCTTTATTTAAAATAAAAAAATTCTTATTAGCATATGCCTGTTATCTTTAAATGTGTGCAATGTTATTCTTTTGTGTTGTGGCTTTACGTTTAAGGGCATGGTGAATTGAAGATGTTGATCATCATTTCTAATTCTGCTTATGTGCGAGTCCAAATACCCATAAATCAACATATATACTGAAAACAATTTTAGAGCATACATAATGAATGAATTAGTGAAAATAAAAAAAGTGGTCTTAAGAAAAACTCAAAAAGGAGCCCTTGAAAATAAAACTGATTCTTACCTATCCCAGAATATCAGCACTGTCCCTATCTCAAATCATCTGATGTTGAAATTTTCAATTATCCTTTTATGATTTATGGGGTGGCATGGTGGCTCAGTGGTTAGCACTGTTACCTCACACCGCCAGGGACCCAGGTTCGATTCCACCCTCAGGCGACTGTCTGTGTGGAGTTTGCACGTTCTCTCCATGTCTGCATGGGTTTCCTACGGGTGCCCCATTTTCCTCCCATAGTCCAAAGATGTGCAGGCTAGGTGGATTGACCACGCTAAATTGCCAGTGTTCAGGGATGTGTAGCTTGGGTGGGATGCTCCAAGGATCAGTGTGGACTTGTTGGGCCGAAGGGCCTGTTTCCACATTGTAGGGATTCTATGACTTCTAGACTTGAATAGTCCCACGCACTCACGGCCACCCTTGTGCATTCTATTCTCAGCAAACTTGATCTCAAGGTACCCATTAATTCAGCAGCCATGCTCACGAATCTATGCTGGCTACTGGTTGAGCAATGTTTCAATTTTAGTACTCTTGTCCTTGTTTTTAAATCACTCCATGTCCTCAACCTCCCTTCTTTCATGTCCATCAGCCTTAAATGTTTTGGAACAGGCTGATGCTATGAAAATACTGTGCAAATGCTTTCTTTCTGTAAGAATTAAGTAATGACATGAAAGAGCTATACCACTGTCAACCGTACAGAAAAAGATAATCTACCCAAATATCCCTTGATTATTTATTTTTTTCTACATGAAGAATTGACGTAAGGCATACCAGATCAAACACCTAAAAGCAAATTGAGAACTGATGTGAAAAACCGATGAACATTTCCTGGTAGGGAAAAGAAAGTAAAATGTTAAATTTTATTCGATACTATGGCAAGGCTAAAGGGTGCTTCTGCTCAGGTCCCTCGGTCCACTAATAGGTTAAATGGGCAAGAAGTTGGCAAATGGAATACAATAATATTGGAAAATGTGAAGTTATTCATTTTGGGGAAACAAAAAGCACAGAACTCAGGGGTACTTGTGCATAAAACACAAAGCCAGCAGAGGTGCAGCAGGTAATCAGGAAGGCTAATGTAACATTAGCCCTTATTTCATGTGAGTTGGTGTATAAGAGTCATGAACTGTATACTGTATAAGGTGTTAGTGGGATCACATCTAGAGTACTGTGAGCAGTTTTGGTCCCCATATTTCATTTCGTGACTCTATTCACTGGAGTTTAAAGCACGAAAGGTGAATTCAGTGAAACATAGAGGACTCTTAAGGAGCTTGACAGGGTAAATGCTGAGAGGATGTTTCCCTTCATGGCAGAATCTAAGACCAGAGGGTATAGACTCAGAATTAAGGGGCACTAATTTAAAAAATCAATAAATGTGGAGGTGGAAAAGCAGAACAGGTCAGACAGCATCAGAGGGGCAGGAATATCAACATTTCGAGCCAGAACACTCCATCAGGGCTCACTGAAGACAGAGATGAGGAGGAATTTCTTCTTTCAGAGGATTAAGAGTCTTTGGAACTCCCAGCCACAGAAAGCTGTGGCTGTAGAGTTTTTTTGTGCGTCTATTTAAGGCTGAAAGAGTTACTGGGAAAGGGCAGGAAAGTCTACATGAAAAATGTCATATCAACCGTAATCATATTGAATAACAGCATGGAGCTGGAGGAACACAGCAGGCCAGGCAGCATCAGAGGAGCAGGAAAGCTGACGTTTTGGGTCGGGACCCTTCCTCAGCAACGGGAGAGGGGAAGGGGGCTCTGAAATAAAGAGGGAGAGGGAGGGGGGGTGGGGAAGGTAGGTGGGATGGTGATAGGGGAGTGCAAGTAGGTAGTGGTGGGGATTGGTCAGTGAGGTGCAAGGAGGGGATAGGTGGGAGAGAAGACGGGCATTCTGTCTTTATTTCAGAGCTCCCTTCCCCATCCCCAGTTGCTGAAGAAGGGTCCCGACCCGAAACGTCAGCTTTCCTGCTCCACACCGTGTTATCTCTGACTCCAGCATCGGCAGTTCTTACTGTCTCTGATTGTATTGAATAATGCAGGTGGCCCGAGGAGCCAAATGGCCTAGTCCTGTTCCTATTTCTTGTGGTCTTATCGACAAATACCACATGAAGCACAGCTTAGTGACTGCAGTTGTACAGCTCCAAAAATCAAAGGGGTTACACAACAACATCAGCCAAAAACTCCAACAAAAAGTCCGAATCTGTAATCTTGGATGGCATTCCGGTTGTAATTTAAATCACACTGTCAACACGCCAGTTATGCTCCAATCAGCCTCATCACGTCCATACCAAATTTACAAGGGCAACTCAGTTAGTCGCACTTTTCCCCTTCTTCCTGCGTTTTCTTTTCAGATAATTACCAAATCTCCTTAAGGCCACAGTTGACTTTGCCTCCACCAAACTCTCATGCAATCCATACCAGATCCTAACTACCCGGTGCTTTTAAAACAAAAGTTTCTCCTCCTGCCGCATTTTGGGCACTTTAGGCACTTTAAAGCGACACTCTCTAGTTCTGGGTTATCGAGTGGGAAGGATACAATATTTTTCTCCCAAAATAAATATCACCTGCGGGCACCATTTCCCCTCATCTTCGACCCATTCCTATGTCTCGGCCCCTCTCGTGGGCCACGAGCGCCCACTTAATAATTAATACGCAAGGCGGCCAATTACCCTCGAGTCGCGAGCCCCCACGCTTTGTAAAATAACGGCCAACTTCACGGTCCCCGCTCGCGCCGACAATCCTTCTGAGACCAGTCAGCTGCAGCTTCACAGTCGCAGTCTCGAGCTCCGACTGCGCTGCGCCATCACTTGCTAACCTCTCACCTGATATTCTTTTTCCCCTTCTTCCTGTCGGACGGCGGCCCGCTTAGAACATGTGAGCCGGTTAACCCTGAGCGAGAATGCAAACGCGACCGACCACGTGCTGCTTTCCGAACCCTTGCAGCCCTACTCGGAGATCCCCGGAAGGTCTTGTTGGAAGTCGGTTTCTGTTCTTATCCTCAAACTGTATTTATGAGTCCTCTTTCCTTTCATTTTCAAAATCAATTCCAGGCAAACTTCCGCATTCGATTGTTGAAGGACTCGGTCGCAAACCTTTGCCTATTTTTTTAAAATTTACAGTTGGTTCCTAACCTATGAATATTTCCATCGTTTTCTGTATATTTTTAGCTTTCCTGCTTTTTGTTACATGAAAAATAAATTAAGTAATCAGATGCAATTTGCAAGTAAATTGTAAGTTTACACTTCTAAGCAAAACACAACTTGTAAGTACCGTAACAAACTGCAGCTGTCCTTTCTAACTTTAGACTGTTCCATATCGAGGGGCCAAATCAGCTGCGTTCTAACTTTTTTTTAATTTCCAAGTGTGCTGTACAATAGCGATGAACTTGTTCTCAGAGGTTTATTTATTCATGTTGATGTGTTTATTTTCTGCTTTTCTTCCATCCGGCTGCAAGCGTTCACCTTGGATGTACTCCGTGGTTAGATCTGGAGTAAGTCGGAGACAAACTAACACTAAATAAAAACTGACGAACTGCGGACGCTGCAAATTACAATCAAAAACAGAAATTGCTGGAAAAGCTCAGCAGGTCTGGCAGCATCTGTAGGGAGAAATCAGAGTTAATGTTTTGGGTCGAGAGACCCTTCCTCAGAAGTGAGGATGTTCTGAGGAAAGGTCTCGTCCCAAAATGTTAACTCAAATTTCTCCCCACGGATGCTGCCAGACCTGCTGAGCTTTTCCAGCAATTTCTGTTTTTGTTTGTGACAACTAACACTATCAACCCGGAGGGCGAAATAAAACTAGCACCACTGGACAGTACGAGGTCTGTGTGCTACTTAGTACTGGCATCAGTAGTGCTGTTCATCACGTCAGTGATACTGGTCCTATCACCAGTTATGCTGCAGAGTCTCACCAGGAAGTTATCATCTGACACTATTTTGCAGTTGTTGCCCTGGCAGATTCTGCACGTTTTCCCAGTATTACAAAATGTCTGTATGGGCTTGTGCAGCAGAAGGTATACCTGGTAACATGAACTCACCACTCATTCAGGAATGTAGAAAATTGGTATTTTATTGACAATTCATTAAAGTGCACAGCATGAAAATTATTAATAAATAAGGAAGCAACTCTTGCCTATACAACACCCCTTTCCCCTGTTTAGTCCATTATTCCCTCAGAAATATAACTGTGGAACCAGGCGTGCTGCATAGGGATCCCAGCGTCAGACAGCTCCTTGGAGTGTAGGTGGCATCCAAAGCAAGCCGCGGGGAAAAAAAAGGAAGAAATAATTAGTGGCTGCCAGCATGAGACATTTAAATATTGAAAATCAAAAGAAGCTGTAAAACTAACAACTGGTGTGTGCATAAATCAGAAATCCCCCATTGTGATGAGCACACTTGTGACAGCCCTCAGTTTAGTTGGAGAATGCACAGGTTTAAGCAGAGGCAAAGAAAGTATCTAGCTTTCTATGAATGGATCTGTTCTACTGTATTTCAGAGCTCTAAAGAGCAGCAGCCAGATTCTTCAACATCGAGTTGGTCTTTGAAGCAAAAGCAGGTGCTCATTGCTGCTCCATTATTGCACACCACTATGAACTTGCACCTGTTTGGGGAAAAAAGATACATGTTTCCTGATTAGAAGTCAGCAGACTAAGTACAAGCACACAGATGGTACTGTTTGGAGCCAGAGGGCTGCTGAGAGAAGCCCAGCTAAATAACACAAAGTGCATTATGAACCATGGCCTGGTGCAATGAGGGAACACTTACTATCCCATCCATGGAAACTTAGAGGTACTGGATTGGTCACTGCCGGGCATTTGATGCGCAGGGCTCTTGGCCACCTGCACCAATCTAGGCAGTTCTTGTCTGGCAAGATCCATGGTTTGTTTAGGCAGTGCTGTGGGAGACAAAAATGGAAAGATTTTTATCTCTTTGTCCCTGAATCTGAGTGATGGAATCAAAAGTAGCAATGTCTTTGGCATCAAAAGAAAACTGCAGTGTGTTTAAGAGTTGCACCTGGAAGTAGCAATTGAGGTCCTGCAATTCGTTCACTCTGGTTTGTTGCTGATGGATTATGACTGTAGCCACTTGTTATAACCCTGTTTTCTGGGTGTTTTAAAATCATTTTGGCTGGGTAATATGGATAAAGCCAAGCAGCACAGGACATATAGGGTGAAAGTAGTTACATAAACTGTGCATCAGTGAATCAAGTAAAAATGAAATTGAACATTTTGTCCGAAGACAGGTGAAGTAGTGGCACAAATAAAAGGTCAGTCATTTAGATGTAATCACTATCAGAGACATGTTTTGCAAGGTGATCAAGGTTGGGAATATTTCAGAAAGGCAGACAGAATGGTATAGGTAGCCCAGATAGTAAAGAATGACATTAAGTAATTTTTTTTTTTTAATTCATTCATGAGATAAGAGTGTCACTGGCCAGCATTTATTGCCTATCCCTAATTCCCCAGAGGGCAGTTAAGAGTCAGCCACGTTGCTGTGGGTCTAGAGTCACATGTCAGCCAGACCAGATACAGTCAGATTTTCTTCCCTAAAGGGCATTAGTGAACCAGATGGGATTTTCCTGACAATCAGCAATGGTTTCATGGTCATCATTAGACTCTTATTTCCAGATTATTATTTAATGTAAATTCCACTAACTGCCTTGGAAGGATTCAAATCCAGATTCCCAGAACATTACCTTGGTCTCTGGATTAATAGTTTAGCAAAAATACCACTAGGCCTAAAGGAGTTACCCTAAAGGAGAAAGGATCTAACTTCAGAAGGTTGTGAAATACTGGCACTAAGGATGGAAAGAGCATTAAAAAGAAATTATTGTAACTTATAACAAAGGCAATTCAATAATTGTGGAGATAAGTGTGTGGAACTGGAGGAGCACAGCAGGCCAGGCAGCAGAGGAGCAGTTTCTTACTACCTCTCAATAATTGTGGGATGTTTTGATCTTTACTTAGACCGGAACAATCAAACTGGCAAGCTGGTTAGAAGATGAGTTTGTGGAACGTTTGGTTTCCTGGGGCAATGTTGTAGTAGAATCAAATGAGGGACAAAGCTGTCTTTCACCTACCATGTAGTAAGAGAAGGTTGATTAGTGATAGCATAATAAAAGATCTGGGGGAAAGATAATGATCCTAATATTATTGAATTCAATGTTAAGTTTGAAAATGGCATACTGAAATCACAAGGAACAATTTAAACTCAAAACAATTATATAGGTGCAAGAGGAGAACTGGCTATGGTTGATTACTTAAATAGGAAAAAAAAAGGTAAAAACAACAGTGGGAAACACTAGAAACAATTCAAAACATGGAAAAAAAAACATGCTTTCCACTGAAAAACGAACTTAGAAAAACCCAGCCTTGGCTCACTCAGGAAGTTAAGAGTTGTATTAGATTTTTTAAAAAAGGCTTACAAATGTTGCAAAGAACCATTGTGGCCGAGTTTTGGCAGTGCTAGAAATGAGTTACAGACTATCAAAAAGTTCACGTGGGGGGGGGAAACTGGAAAATCAGAGTAAGTGAGCCAGAGTTATAAACAGAAGATTATAAATAACCAGACAAAAAGGAAGAGAATAGCTGAAGTAAACATTGATCCCTTAGAAGCCGAATCAAGAGAATATTTCATGAGTTTGAAATGTCACAGGCATTGAACAAATAGTGTGTTTCGGTTTTCACGCCAGGAGACATAAGCGTGAAAGTTGCATATCAGAAAGAGAGTAACTTAGGGGCTAAAATGAATGAGGAAATTAAGGTAATTAACATCAGTAGAGAAAAAGTATTGGAGAAACTTAATTATGAAGTCCAAACATCCCCTGGACTTGTTCTGAGGCAGGATTACTGGACCTGAAACATTAACTCTGATGATTTTTCTTCACAGATGCTACCAGGCCTGCTAAAGTTTTCCAGCAGCTTATTTTCATTCCCTGGACTCGATAGCCTACATTCCAGATTTCTAAAATGTACAGCTGCAGATACTGGATGCATGAGCTATAATAGTCCAAAATTCTTTACATTCAGGAACAATTCACAAATTAGGAAATATAACATTGCTTTCTTGAAAAGCAGAGAAAAATCTGAGAGTTACAGTCCAATTAGTCTAACATCAATAGTTGGAAAGTAGCAGAATCATTTTAAGGAAGCCTTAACACTGCACATAGAAAAATGTTATGACAAGAACACCAGGTGGCACAGTGGTTAGCACTGCTGCCTCACAGCACAGGGACCCGGTTTCGATTCCACCCTCGGGCGACTGTGTGTGGAGTTTGCACATTCTCCCCATGTCTGCATGGGTTTCCTCTGGGTGCTCTGATTTCCTCCCAGAGTCCAAAGATGTGCAGGATAGGTGGATTGGCCATGCTAAATTGCTCGTAGTGTTCCGGGATATGTAGATTGGGTGGGATGCTCTGACGATCGGTGTGGACGTGTTGGACTGAAGGGCCTGTTTCCACACTCTAGGGATTCTATGAACAAGTCAACATAATTTTTACATTAGTTTTCTGAACATGTATTGAGTAGCATTGATCAAGAGCTAGTAATTGTAGCATGGAAAAAGGTGCCACACAAAGTTAGTGAGTCAAAGTATTGGCTTGAATTAAGAATTGGTTAATCAAGAAACAGGCGAGTTTAAATGGGACATTTTAAAGTTGACAAGCAGGCACTCTTGGAGTGCTGCAAGAACCTCAGCTACCTCTAAGTAACCCCAATTTGTATTAATATCCATTCCATGTTTCAGTCCCATTGAGAACAAGGCAGAAAGTCTGAAGAAGTTTACCAAAGACGATGACCTACTGGGGAATGTGAAAGATCCCACTTCTTATTTATTAGTAAGGTATTTATGGTAATAATGTATTCAACTATTGAAGCAAGTCCATTGAGAATAAATCACTTAGACAATGGATCTTGGCTAAGAGGGGAATTCCTAGACCTGATCTATTTAAGTTGGAAGTGGAGCATAGAATCATGTTTGATTTACTGGTGAATTGATGAAAGAGGAGCGAAAGAAATTCTTTGCCCCTTCAAACAATCTGCAAGTCTTTGGGCCCTACCTGCTGTCATTTGACACACTCATCGTGTGCAGCAAAGGAGGTCATAAAGACAGAACTCAACTTCACAGCTGTCTCCAGACTGCAGATTTTAAACAGCTCCAAATGTTGGAAGCAGAAAACTACCTAATGCCAGCCAAATCACCCCATTATTGACTTTATACACTCTTACTTTATTTATGGACTCTAATTTGGAAAACCTCTTTCTTGACATGGTAATCCATCTTGGTGTGTATGTATTAGTGGGTACATATTACTTGATTAGTGTTTAGTCTGTCATGCAAAGATATTACAATGCAGTACATAGACGTCAATATCAAAACACAGCCAGTTTATTCTGGCATACACAAATGACTACAAGTGGGTGCTATTACAAATGTTATAATATTACATAAATATTACAAAATTTATAATAAAGCTTACCTATTTCTGCAATAAACTTGAGCAAACCTGCCTCATTGGTTTTTTCATAAGCACAGAATTTAGAAGTTAAATACGCACTGAATTAACAAACATACCTTTTTAAAAGGGTCTTGTGGCACAGTGTTACTGTTCCTACCTTTAGGCCAGAAGGTCTTGCCTCAAGTACCATCTGCTTGTGGTATGCCATAACATGTTAAAAAAAACAACTTAACCTTTTCTAACAGAAATCCTGTTTGTCAAACAAGGAGGAGAATAGGGTTCTATTTGTAACTTGAATAGATCAGGTCTACAAATTCAGGAGCAAGTTACTGTAGCTGCTGGAATCTGTACTTAAAACAGCAAATGCTGGAGATCACAGACCAAACACATCTTCACCTCAGTCAATAGATGTGAAGCTGGAAAAGCACAGCATCTGAAAGGCAGGAATATCAAAGTTTCAGGCCGAAACGCTAGACTAAGGGTTTCAGCCCGAAATGTTGACTTTCCTGCTCCTCGGATCCAGTCTGACCTGCTGTCCTTTTTCAGCATCTGCAGTCCTTATGGTCTCCACATCTTCCCCTCATTCCCTGTCTACATTTTGCAAGGATAATTCCCTCTGGGGCACACTAGTCACCCCACTACCACCACCCGTCCCTTTCCATGTAACTGCAGAAGTTGCAACACCTGCCCCTCCACCACCTCCCTGCTCACCATCCAAGGGCCTAAACTGTCTTTCCATGTGAAGCAGCATTTCACCTTTACCTCCTCCAATCTTGTGCATTGTATTTGCTGTACCCAATGTGGCCCACTCTACATTGGAGAAACCAGACGCAGACTGAATGACCACTTTGCAGAGCACCTCTGGTCTGTGCGCAAGCACGACACCGACCTTCCCATAGCCGGTCATTTTAACACGGCATCCTGCTCACATGCCCACTTATCTGACTTCAGCATGCTGCAGTGCTCCAGTGAATCACAGCACAAACTGGAAGAGCAACATCTCATCTTCAGGCTTAATATTGAGTTCAACACCTTCAAATTGTGAACCAACTCCCATTCCTTCCCTTTCTTTTAGCTTTCTCTGCCACCATGTCCTCTCTCCCCTCCCTCCATCCCACTGGGATGGTGTTCTTTCAAGCCTGGCAGCTTACACACCATTGTTCACCATTCTCACAGTCTGATCACAATCTGAAACATCAACCTCTTCTCCCCAGCACTCTACACCCCACCACTCCCAACTATAGCAAATTCTGCCCCCTCCAAACTTCACCTCAGCCCTGATAAAGAGTCATCTATTCTCAAAGCATTAGCTTGCTCTCTGCATGGATGCAGTCTGACTTGCTGTGATCTCCAGCATTTGTTGTTTTCAGGTCGAGGTCTTAACTGAAGTCCATTCAACCCCTCCTCATCCGATACGAACAGCTGAAGTAGGCTATCTTGGTCTCACTGAAAGTCAAGGGATGTGTGGAGTGGAAGCCATGATTGTATCTAACGTTGAAACAGGCTCTTGGAGCTACATGGACTCCTCCTGCTCCCAATTGTGTTCTATAGAGGAATAGTAATAGGTTATTGTCATTCACTGGAAAGGATTTTAACTTTTTGCTTTCAACAAATACCTTATACATACACCATATGAACAGACAAAGGAAGCTTTGTACATTTAAATTAATTTTTTTCATTAATTTTAGTCCTGATGAATGGTCACTATTGCTAATCGTTCCAAACTAAGTGCTTGTTTCATGTCAAATAGGATTTCAAATGTTGCTAGGACATTAATGGACTTGGAATGGAGGACTGTAGTTGAGTCACAACAATGTGGCAGTTGTGGCAGAAACCTCAATTTGCATTGTGACATGCCCATAAGGTTTTCTCTGTTCTAGATTCTAGTTTGACTAACCAATAGTTTGTTGATAAAACATTGATACTAAACAACACTTGCCTTTACTGCTTTCCGAGGGATTTCAACAATGGCGGCAGACACGATAATGACATTTTTCTTTTAAAAAAAAATCAACTTTTGATGGACACATCAATAATCTACTTAAAACCAGTTACTTAGCTCAAGCCAGTATAAGATTATGTAACTGTATGCTCTATGGCAACGTCTAGTCCCTGACTCCCACAAGCAAATACTTCAGATAACTGGAAGAAATTCAAGTGAGCTGGGGAAAAAAAAAACTACATATTTGATAAGAAACTGAACGAGTACAGGAAATGTATATGCACAATTTAGATAATGTATAATAAAATTTATTCATTTACAACAACTATAGATGATAGACTGTGGGTACATATCAACAATTTCTTTTTCCACTTGCAGGAATTTTAAAGTATTGTAAAATGGAATACAAAAAGTGCTGGAGAAAGTCAGCAGATCTCCATCATCTGTGGAAAATAACGGTAATATTAGACTCAAATACGACACTTCTGTGAAACGAAGACAGGTTGAAATAAGATGGGTTTTATGCTATTGAAAAGGCTGAAGGGGGCAAGCTGAACAACAGGAAAGGTCAGGGAAAAGTTAGTGAACAAAGGAGATTAGAGATCAAAAGGAGCCAAAGAAAAGGCATGGCACAGTCGTGGTTGTCAGGAAGGAAAAGCACCATTGGTCTAGAATAGGTGTTAATAGCAGATTATAAACTGCATTGAAAACAAAATATTTAGAAGTAGCACTGCTTCCTGTTGTCATCTGAAACTGGACTAATCAATTTTGCTTCCAATTACTACCCTTCTCATCTTGATCTAATCCACCTCTTACCCTTTCTGACATCGGTCTCCATTTCCAGGAATAGTCCAGGACCCCACAGCCAGCAAGTACATTACCCACATCATACAACAAGTCAATTCTATTCTTTCAACATTTCCACCTCCATTGTCATTTGTTCTATGATGCCATGTTTCACAAAGGCACTTACAATGTTTTAATTTTGATTTTCAACCATGGATGCCTTCCCACCTTAACCACGCCACCCTCCAACCCCAAAAAACTGTTATGGACAGGATCTTTGACCATGTCCGATCTATTCCCCTGCTCTCATTTTTCACACCACCAGCCTCCACATTCAAAAAGTCATTAACCACCATTTCTGCCATCTACACCTAAACAACCAAACACATCTTCCCCTCCCCTTCCCTGTTAGCATTCAACAGGACCATTCCTACTGCAACAAGATGGTTCCTCCTATCACCCTCACACCTTATCCTCCTCTTAAGTCACCTTCCCATGTAATCACAGGATGTGAAACTTTTGCTTTTTTTAAAAAAAACCTGTTCACTGTCCAAGGCCCCAAACAGTCCTTCCAGGTGAAGCAGCAATTTACTCGTACTTCAATCCAGTCTACTGTACCTGCACTCACATTGTGTTTTCTACATCAAGACGATCAGATGCAAATTGGGTGATGACATTATGGAACTCCTCCACTCAGTCCACAACCATGGTTCCTATTTCAATACATGTGCTTGCTCTCATTTGTCCTGGGCCTGCTGTGCTGGTGTTCCGCTAAAGCCCAACACAAACTGGCAGAATAGTATCTCAATTTTTGATTAAGCATTTTGGAGCCCTTGAAGTCAACATTGTTTAACATCTTCAGGCTTTGAACTCTGGCCTCCATATTGATTCTCCCCCGTTGGAAGTCTTTTAATGTTTTGCTTCAGTTAGAGCTGACTTTTGTTTTATTAACACCAATTTCGATCAACGTTTTCTCTTCTCTACAATCACCCTTTCTCATCTCAAAAACACATAACCCCATTTGCATCCTACCTTCAACAAAATATTGATTGCAGAACTGAATATATAAGGGTGAAACCAAACTTGAAACGTCGTGTCTCCACAAATTCTGCCAGAAATGAGTTTTTCCAGTGTTTTTTTTTCATTTCAGATCTCCAGTCTCTGCAAAATTCTGCATACTAAAAGCAATATATTGCAATCATTCATTTTTAATATACAAGCTGCACTTTATTGACATTCTTCAGATTAATGATGAATCAAGAGGCCATTTTTCACAATATTTATTGGTTTCCTGAGCAGCTACATTGATGTGACAATTTCATTCCTATTTGTTATGCATTAATTGATACATTCCATAAATGGACCCTTAGAATTTCTAGGTCATTTGTGGAAATGTTTCAGAAGGATGTTGGAGTAAAGGAATCAAGGGTTATGGGGATAAGGCAGTGAAGTTAAGGGTTATCAGGAACAAAAACAGAAGGTGCTGGGAAAGCTCAGCAAGTCTGGCATTCTGTGAAGAAAAAAAAAAAATCAGAGTTAACGTTTCGGGTCCAGTGACCCTCCCTCAGAGCTACAGTTGTGGAAGGATCACTGGACCCGAAACATTAACTGATTTTTTTTTTTCTTCACAACTGCTGCCAGACTTGCTGAGCTTTTCCAACTGATTTATCGCATCCACAGTTCTTTCAGTTTTTATTGAGGATTATCAGATCAGGCATAACCTCCGAATGACAGAGCCTCCATGGTGCCATTTTCAAAAAGGCAGAGTTATCACTGGTGCCATGACTAAAATACTTTACTTTACTTCAGCATAATAAAACACATCTCATTATCTCGTTGTTTGTGGCAGCTCATTACATGCACATTTTCCATCATGTTTCCTACATATGACAAAACTTCAAAAAGAACTCCATTATCTGAAAGTGCTTTGCAGCCACTGTTAAATGCAACTTTTAAAACAACATGTAGAATGTTGAGCAAAACATCTAGGATGCCAAACTCTGTCAAGTCAGCACAATTTTGTTCTACAAACCACACATCTTCCATCGTTCTTGGTATGATGTGGCATCACCCATATCTTGACTTTCAAAACCCATGTCTTGTGACTAAAAAGTTCAGACTCTAAGAACTTGACAGTCAATGGCCCAGAAGTTAAATGGTGCAATTAAGAAACACCAATAAGACTCACTTACATAGGCAGTAAGAGGTTGAATTGCTGTGGTTTCATGGTATTCATACCCTTGTCAATATGCATGATTTAAATGTCTCAATTATTGAGCCTACATTGGGTCAGGGTGAAAAAGGGATGAATAATATTTAATCCAGGACTAAATACAGAAAGGTAAACATTTAAATTCAAATTTTATTTACGTTCCAGTTTAAACATTATAAATTCAAGGGAAGCTTTCCCACAAATTTTAACATTTCTAAAGTACCATCACAATTCAGAATTATGCTGGCACTTAGCAGGTTTAATGTGCTTTGCACATATCTTTCATATACACTATGTACATTTTTTTAAACAGGCATCCAGCTCTACGGTTAAATAGTATTTCATTTAAAAAACTAGTTACAAATGCAGGTGACAAAACCTTTACAAGTCTTTACAAAGTTTGATGGCAGTGTCCATTTAAGTTTGGGAAAACCAAGAAAATGCATTGGTGCATAACCATGTTGTCGAAAAAAAACAGAATAATGAACACAGCCAAAGATCGCAAAGTCTCTTTAAATAGATAATAGGTAATTTTTTTTCATAATTTCTGAAGGAGGGTCTAGGCCCAAAACGTCAGCCTTCCTGCTCCTCTGATGCTGCTTGGCCTGCTGTGTTCATCCAGCTCTACACCTTGTTATCTCATGTGCATTTGTCAATTCCTTTACACAGACCCAGCACAGATTTTGATCTTTCAGTACATATTTTTGCAGCTGGTAAATAGACAACTTCAAGAGCAACAACCAACTGAAAAGTAAGCCAACAATACAAAGTCTGGACACTTTTCTATTTAAAAAGGAGGCATTTTATAACTAAAATGATATTGGAACAATACATTTTTCTCAAAAAACAAAAGTTTAATGATGATTGAAGTAGATGTGTAAATAGGCCTCTTGTTTACAGTCTAAGGAGAAGGTAAGCCAAAATTGGTACCTGCATTTACCTGCATCTTACAAGGTACAATGACAACAATGATGTACCAAATGTGCAGGACTCCAGCAATGCTGGTCATTGTGGCAGAGTGACACAGCAGATTTTGTTTGTATTAACCAGATTCAAAAGGCCTCAGAGAAGAGTGCTCACAGCTGCTGCATTGAGCTTACAAACAACCAAATGCTTCCGTAAAGCAAGAATAGTAGTGGAATGAAATTATAACCCGAAAGTTGCTTCACGACTGAAGCTCTGACAATTATCCAGCAAGTGTGGTCTGAAATCTCAGCCAAAATGATCAATGAGGCAGACTGGTCAGGGGCTGAGTTTGCTGACATGGGAACAATTCAAATAATTAGAAGATTACGATTGCATGTATGCTGCTCAGTAAAAACAAGTTGTGCACTTCAACTGGATGACAGAAATATGCCTGAATTAACATGGTGTGAGGTGAATAGAAAATAATTATTCCATTTAAAATAGTTTTTTTTTGGGGGGGTGGTGGTGGAGAAGGAGGACCTGATAATGGATGTATGAAATCCAATAGTCTTGAAAGAGTAGTCCATATATTCACTGTCCATTCAGTTCAGTTATTGACATACATAAACAGGAGTACTTTCATCTGTAAGAATCTGTATCATTAATTTGACAAATGCTCAAAGCACTCAAGAACGCTTTGATTCTGCATACAGTCATAGCGATGTCACACCATCTTTCAATCATTTAGTTAATCTGTAGCTTTAGAGTCAATCACAACTTGAGTGTATCACACTTTAACAACCATGTTAAAGAAATTAAATTAACTTTGGTTGTATTTACATCTTTATTCTTAACCATTTTTGGATAATCCATCCTGAAGTTGATCAATATTTTAAACATCTAGCCATGTGAGAAATTTGAAAGAAAATGCAAGTTCATGGAGATAATACACAAAGGTCACATGGAACAAACTTAAGTGAGGCGTGTTCCCTGAACAACTATCATATTGGCACCACGCAACCAATTCTAAAGCTTGCTATAACTTAAAAATTAAATTTCTGAAACTGGAAACTAAACTACTTGAAGTCACCTTCCACAAGGTTAGGGGTCAAATTAAGAGTTTAATTTCAGGTAATATTGAATAGTGATCAGAAGCAGCAACTCCCAAACCAGTAACAAGGGACTCCTGCAGCATAGTAGATGCAATTAAGATAAGATCTCAAAGATAATGGAACACATTACCTTTATATTACATTAACCTCTACTAGAAGCTGATTGACAAAAGGAGCTAAGCAGAATTTCTCAACACAAAGCATCGCAAAAATTCTCAGATGGTCGATTTGACTTTAAGCTCTCCTTACCTCACAGCATTCATTTATACTAAGGCTAACTGTTGCAGTGATATCAGTCAGGCTTGGTATCTCATTCAACTGGCTACTACAAAACAATTGTTGAACTCGTGTGTTTGATCACAAAGAGGCACCAAAATGGATTTCAATCCTGCACTTGTATCAAGATATTTATATCACTAGCTATTGGCTGGTTGTCAGTAGGAGGATTTACAATCAAATTATCTCTTCCCTAGCCAAGGAGGTTGCTGCCCTAGTGACATCAACTAAAGCACGTAACTGGTCTTCATGGCATATTTCTACATCAGACAGTGGACTCAACAAGCAAGTTACTGTGGGTATTCCTCCATTCACTATCACCACTCATCATCTACATGTCCCATTACTTTAAATGTTCTGATCTTTAATAAAAATTATAGAACTAAGATGTAGCATTCCCAACTACTATTGCTTGGAACAAGTTTCCCAAAGACATTTCAGGAAACTATTGGGCTGCACGTTCATGTTCTGCAAAAGCTAGTGCTAATTACACAACTTCACATAACACACAATGTTGTGCTGACATTTAATACATATCTTCCACGTATCTAGTCCAACTTAATCCAAGTGTGCAATAGCAAAGTATTATGAAATACAAAAAGTGTGCAAAATAATCCTTCGCATCAAAATGGTGTTGTTTTAGATTCGTACCCCTCTCGCAGTCTGAAATGCAATAACAGAATATTAAGTATATCCCCCACAAGCCAAACATCAGCAATAAGCCAAGGAGCACTATCCAAAATTAGGAAGCAGCGGCTAGAATTAACCTTGGATCTCTCATTCCATTCACAACATGCAATGGAAGAAAGGAAAATGCATGGAAAAACCCAGCTGTACTCATTAACTTGGCAGTTGCTGCCAAGACTTTTTCTAAAAAACAAACCAAAATTCAGTCCTTATTGTAAACAAGAAATCATATCTACAGTTCTTTTTGAACTTTCATCTGCACCCTTTGTAAGGCTTCACCCCACCCCCCTGCCATTCTCTCAAAGATAACCAAACCAATCAACATGTACTGAAATTGCCACATTCAACTTAACCACAGTACAACACAAATGACTGTCAACATAGCAACAGCCTATTCTTCCAGGAAAGGCCAAATGCAACAGTATCACACACCTCAGACCGTCAAGAACATTTCCACAGCTGGTAAGTTCACCTTGGAAGACTTGTCATAAAAAGGTTGCTAGGTCTTGAAATAATTTGAACACAAATTTTTCTGTCATACATGCAGAAAGCCAACATAAAAACTCCATTATTAGATGGGTATGGTAATCAATAGTGACATTTCATTTCATGCTAATACATAATTTATTTAAAATACCAGCAGACAACACCTCAGTTGCTGGTAGCCAATAGAGATTAAGGTCAATACAACTGGCTGTGGTTTTACTGGCAAAAAAAACTCTATTACTATTCCTGTAACTGGTACATATTTCATTTCATCACTCACCAGCAACCAAACTTACATTCTGTTTCTAGGTCCATCACGGGCAGCAGCTATTCAATACTTCAAAAAAGAAAACACTTAATTGGTCATATAAAAATCTTCTAGTGGGAAAAGCCCATCAACGTCACAGTCAAACAAATCACTGATTCCTGCTTTATCACCAATGCTCAGTATGTACTCTTGCTGTGCAACTGATGGAGACAGATTTACAAACAGTCCTTCTTCTTCCATTGGCCATGAAATCTGATCTTCAGTTTGTTGCAGAATACTGTTCAATGAGGTCAAAGGTGAAAAGTGTAAACCAGAACTGTCACCATGCTGACTACCGTTTGAAATATCAAAATCTGTCAATGGAAAACAACAGTCAATAAATAAATGAACAGGTTAATATATGATGTTTTCCAATCATATGACATATCTCTTAACAGCCATATCATTAATGTAGGATTGGAAACCTGATAATGGCCAGCTTTATTTCAAAGTAACGGTTTATATTTCATACAAGTCGGTGGCCATTTGGCCCGGTGTCCATTCTGGCTCTCTGTAAAGTAATAAACCTGGTGTCACTTGCCCAATTTTCTTCTGTAAGCATGGATTTTTTTTCTCCTTTCCAGATTACCCTCACTAGCCCTTCTCTGTTGTCTCACCTGAAAACACAAGTTTATTGCCAGTGCCTCTGCAATTTCAATCCTCACTTCCCTTGGTGCATCCCACCCAGTCCTGATGCTGTATCAAAATCTTAAATACAATCAGCCTATCCAATAGCTCCTCCTGATCAATTTTAAAATCAATCCAAGTGTCCAAAATTAGCTCCTCTCCTGTGCAGCATCTTCTTTTGTAAAGACACAGAAGTATTCATTTAGTACATCAACTGGGCTGCAATGCACAAAGCCCCTTTTTGGTCCTGAACCAGTACTGCTCCTCTTCACACCACCCTCTTCCTATTTATAGCCTATAAAAAAATTAATGGATTCTCTTGCGTTCGATGCTAGTCTCTTCTCATGCTTTTTTTTCCCTCAAACCCCCTCTATATATTCTATAGTGACCCAGATTCACAATTCTATGAACCACCCAACATTTCTCATGTACCTTTCTCTGTGCCCTCTTACTCTGTCATCATCCAAGGTGCTCTAGAATCATTTGCACTACCTTTCCCCATTTTTAGCATGCACCTTGACTGTACTCAAACACACTTCTTCCAATGTTCATTTACAGTATTTCCTGCCAGAGTTTGTTTCCATTGGGAAGAGAACAATGGACTTTTTCACCCCAAAGGAAACCAATCCCAAAAAAGGATATCTAGCCATGTTCACGTCACCAAGTGGACCCTTTCACATCAAACTCAATTTGCACTTTTTATTCACAATCATAACGAGGATTCAGGTTCCAAGCATATAGACCAGTGGAGTTCCAGATTCCAACTTTAGCCTGCCTGTTGAAAATTTGAAGCAGTCATAGATGCAGGGCTATTAAAAAGGCAAATGGATAGAGAAATTCAGTCAATATTGCTAATTTTAACAAATTACCAGGGTCAATCCTGTGGGGCAAATGCATGCATAGGATGGAAAGAGAGATCAGATTTGGGTTCAATAGCAATCCCACTGTATTTGAACAGCCCAATAGGTGCAAACACAGCTGAGGCAGAGAGAATTCACATTCTCACAAATGTATGTGTCTTCACAAAAAGATGGTAAGGAGGGAATTGAAATTGAACAGATGATTAGAATACATGTTCTGGCATCCTCTTCTAAAAAATGCAAACTCATACACAAGTTACAGTTTTATGAGCAACAAGGTTCACATACTTTGCTCGTTTCACAATACCCAGTTTATGAACCTTAGCAGAACATTCCCAAGTTAAAGGTATCACATTCAAGTCCAATCCTTGTCTCATTAGACGAATGAAAATCCATACAACAGAGGCCACTCCACATCAAGATGTGCAGGGGCATGTTGGGCTTAAAGTACTTGATCCTCATGATGAACTTTAAAGTGTAGCGCAATGGAATAACAAAATTTGAGGAGGAGGAGAATCGCTTCTGCAGAAACTGTTCCTGCCACTAGATGGCGATCCATACATTATGGTGGAAGCACTCTGGAGATTAAATACACAATGGCAGCTTCACACTAAGTTAGCTGGTCAAGCAGCTTAGTACAAACATCAGAATTAGAACTTAGTATACCCATCTCTGAGCTAGGAGGCCCAGGCCCCACCTGCTCTAGAGAATGGATTAACATCTGAATGTTGTTTAACACTAACTACAGATATAGGCATATAGAGATATTTATAAGCAAAGTTATTTTTATTCACTCATGGGACATGTTTTGAAAGTTTTCTTTTAAAACAACATGGTGGTCAAACATCAAAGCAACACACTGGAGGCAGCTTGATTATGTATTTCAAAAAGAAAATAGGTTGAGACAATTAGAGAAATGTTTCAAAAATGACACATTGTTCCAAGATTTCAGTAGACCTGAAAGGACTTTGTTCAGCAACACCCTCAAGTCAGTTATGTGGGGAGATCTAATAAATAGAATACATAGCACAGACTGGCTGTTCAGTTCAACCAGAGCATTCTACGATCTGTTCCACTCAACTTTCACCTTTCCATCCTCACTTTACTACTAGAAGAGCTCTTTCTCCTTCTCTCTCATACGCTTACCAAGCCTCCCCTAAAATGCATTGATGTAATTCACCTCAACACTCCATGATAGCAAGTTCCGTACTCACAGGTTCTCTGGGTAAAGAAAATTCTTTTGAACTTAACTTTGTGATGGCTAATGCTGATGGCCAAGAGCTCTGCTCTTCCCCACATGTAGAATCACTGTGCATTTGTCATACCCTATTAAAAAACATTCATAATTATGTCACACTCTAGCCTTCACTCCAAGAGAATATCCATGACCTGTTCTTTCTTTGTTGCTGGTTATAATCTTGGAGTTCTGGGATAGGCCTTTTGCGACACAGTGGTACATCAACTAGCTCTGGACCAGGAGGCCAGGGTTCATTCCCACCTGCTCCGGTGGTATGTAATAACATTTATTAATATGTTGGTTAGAAAATAGCTGCCTTTCTGGTATCATTGTTTTTGTTTTGCTCCCACTTCAGGGCCTCTATTTCCTTATAGGATGATCGGAAAACAATACCTTCAAGAAAGGTCGAACTAAGGTTTGAATCAAATTTAGCATAATGTGTTTAGTTTTCAATTCAGTTTTGAGAAATAAGTCTACAGGTAGTTGTCCTATAGTGCGATAATTGCATTTTTGCATGACTTTGCGTTATAGAAAATCACATTATAGGGAAATCGCTACAGAAAAATCACTATACCTGTTCAGTAGAAAGTTCACATCATCCTAAATAGTGTCCACTATTCATCAATCGCATTACAGCTAATTCACATTAGTGAAACACATTACTATTAGTGGTTGAAACTTCAGGCATGTCAGAAACAGACAATATACAGATCAAAAATAAATCATTGTCCAGAACTTACCACGGACATGTGACTGGGAAATACTCCTACAATGTTCCTGACTGGCAGCCTTCAATGGGCTATTAGATGTTCCAGCATCATCCGGACACAAATAAACCTCAATAGGGCCTTTAGAACTTAGTAAGTGTATCTGGAAATTCTAAAGGAAATTTAAAAACAAAAATCATAAAACATAGGGAAATGTTATTTTCCATAAACAGGTTAAATAGTCTTCAGAGTTCAAACTCCCCTTCAAATTTAAGCGATTGGCTGTCTTAAACGTATAAGAATCAATTCTACTGTCAGAGAAGGAACTGCAGATGCTGGAGAATCTGAGATAACAAGGTGTAGAGCTGGATGAACACAGCAGGCCAAGCAGCAGAGGAGCAGGAAGGCTGACATTTTGGCAGTGTGCAAAAATAATCCTTTAAAAATAAGGCAACATTAAACACAACAGCCGATTACACGCTATCAATCTCTCTCCAATAAGCTTCAACTTACATCATAGGGATCAGATACTTCCAGCCTGGTTTCAGGAGGGGCTTTCACAGCTACTACCACCTGGCCTTTGAAACTTTGGATCTTTCGGATGTCCTGATAAGTCACATAATTTAATGTGTCAGATGTCAAGGAGTGTAAGTTAGACATTGAATAACAATCTGTCCTCTGGATAATATGGAATGGACTATAAACCACTGGCCTGGCCAGTGACACCCACAATGAATGAATAAAAAGCATCTGACAAGCCTGTTCAGCTATTTAATCAGATCACAGCTGATCAACTGTATCAATGCTACTTTTCTGCACTGTCTCCATTTCCCTCTATTGAGCTTCCAAGCTGGCTGGGACAGAATTCAAGATTCAACACCCTCAGTGAATGAATTTTTTGACACCTCAGTCTTAAATAGACTACCCCTTATCCTATGATAACACCCCTGGTTATAGACACAAGAACCAGTTATGGACCTGACTAAACCCCCTCAAAATACATTGAGAGTAGCCTAGACCCCAACGTATTCTTATTTTTAATAAGCGTAAGGCATTGTGTTCTGGATACAAATCAATTGGTCAAGCTACCAGGCTCGAAGCAAAACACTTGATTCTTACACTACTGTTAAAATTTAAAACAAAAAAGAAAGAAGAATTGGAATAACTTAACTCTATTGGAAAAAACTTAACAGAATATTAGATTATTTTACTAAACAGCGACTGTTCCAATATAGTAACACCTCAAACACACCCTTGGCAAAGGCAAATTCAGTAAAATAGATTGTCTCACATACAATTCTCCAGTCTGGGAGAGGGGGAAACAGGGAGGAAGAGGTGATGGGGGAGGGCTGTTTCAATGGCTCCAACTTCAATAAAAACTCCAAGGCCTCACGAGCTGTTTACTTCATTGACTGGAAACAAAACCACTTGGCACCTTTGTCTCAACCTCTCCTCATTCAAAAATAAAGTACAAAACACAATTCCTAAAGCCATTCTATCATTACTCTAGGGAAAACATCTTACCTACATCCACCATCATGCCCTCCAAGAGTTTTCTGGTGGCATAGTGGAAATACCCCTATCTCTGAGGTAAGACACCCAGGTTCAAGTCCCACCTGTTTGTGAGGTGCGCAATAACATCTCTGAACAGTTTGATTAGGAAAATTTCTAAATGAGGTCACCTTCCATTCTTTGAAACTCAAAAGAAATATGTAGGACAATCCCACCGGCCCAGAAATTAATCCCTTTACAATTTTGTTTCTCGAAACAACAGCTCTCAGTCTCATTGATACACCAGTGCCTCCAGCCATGTTTCTCTGTAACGAGAAAAGACTGCTATGCTTAAATTTACTTCACTTACATCAGCTTTATTATACTTGGCCTCAACTTAATAAGCCATTACAATTCCTGAAACCTTATTAGTGTAGATAAATGCAATTAGTTTTCAGTCACTAGCTAGTTTAGCTTCCCACTACATTTGAACCAAATACTTCCAGCTGATTGATAGGTATCTGCCATCACCAGGTAACTTAACTTATTTGAAGGTTTTAGCTCGGTGTCAGAGCTTGACTCCATACTTAACCCTGCAAAAGATCAACGGAGCTTATCACATGAACCAAAATTCTCCACCCACTGTCTACATCCGACTCAGGCAGAATCTTCCAACTGTGCTCCAACTGATGAGGCCGTAAAAGCCAACTAGCAAATCTATTGTAATAATGTCACTTTGTCTTCACAAATCATCCAACACATTCAATCCCATCCTGCCTATACCAATTTTTCCAAAACACAAATTTTTGAGCACCAAGTCAGAAAGGATATCTTTGGTTTTCGGAGTCTTCTGTTAGCTTTTTGAGGTCCAATGCACAGCTCTGGATCAAGTCATCCAACCTCTTCTCTTTCAGTTTAAGCTCAGCCACTTCCCGGTTCAGACCCTGGCATCGCTTCAGCATACCATCATTGTCCATCAGGCTGCAGCCCCTACAGAAAACAGCGCCAAGGCACTTAGCAACTTTGCTCAATTTCCATTATGGAAGAAACACTATCCAACTCCCAGAGTTGGGAGTTGATGCGAAACAGACAAAAAGTTAACTGTTGAAAGATCACACTTTATTTTCCCCCCAACGGGAAAACAGCAGCTTTCCTATACAATCCTTTAACAGTACATGATGCTGCAATCTCAGTGCTTCAGAATGAAGACCTATTTCACTATGGTACTGAGCTCTCTTCCGGTTCTTTCATCAGACTCTGGCACAAGCCAAAGTAGTACTTCCAAAAATGAATTTTGAAAAAACACCCATTTTGAAGGCTCTGAACTCTTATTCTACAGGGGAAAAAAAATCTCTGGATAAAGCTCATTTTTTAATAAGTGGAATAGTTGCCCCCAAGTAGGGATCTCCTTTATGAGGCAATAAGTACTCAGCAAAATTGTCACAGCTGAGAGCAAAAAGAACTATTGAGTTCACTACAGAGTACATTTACAAGTGATGCTGCAATGCAATGTCACAGACCTTACTCGTCACATTGACAGTCATTTTGTTTGACCATATGATGGTGGTTGTGTTGAGATCAACCAAACTGCTCTGAGCCCAAAATCTACCTGCATGCTACAAGTTGTAGGAGAATCCCACAAAGACGGAATGCATTAGTCACTATGGCTGGTGTCCAAAGGACTAAGTGGTTAAGCTGGAGAAAGCTGAAAGCCGAAAGCCAGGATCCAAGAGGGTAACACAGCCACAAAGACCTAGACTCATTTCTTGGACACACTGAACTCTCATCAATCAGTTCATCCACAGCAGTATAGTCGGTAAGCATGTGCACAACACAGTCCCGGCTCTGAATATATGACTGCAAATGCTGGATTAATAGGGAGGCCTGCTCCAAAAAATGTACAGCTGATTCCATGTCTTGTTATACCTCAAGTTTCCAATAGAGTGAAATGGCCATGACCAATAACAAGGCTCAAATTCTCAAACAACACTGAAAAACTAGACATCTTTTAATAAAAAGTGATAAGATATGCTGGCACGTGAAACAGTTCAAAACAACAACAAAAAAAAAAATCAGATTCCTGCCGTACAGGAGTTAACCTATCAAGAGCAGTTAAACAGGTTAGGCCTTCAATCATTACGGTTTAGGAGAATGAGAAATGATCTTAACGATACATACAGAATTGAGAGAGACTTGACAGGGTACTTTCCACTTGTGGCGTTAATTATTAAACTCACAAAGAGGGACATACAGATAAACTCAGATGTGAAAGAATTTCATCTTCCAGAAGGAAGTGACTGGTATTCTCTACCCGGCGTTGTCAAGGCTAGATCATTCAAACTATTTAAAGCAGAGAGATTGGTTTTTTTGCAACTTGTGGGGTTTTTTTTGGGGGGGTTGGGGGTGGGGTTTGACAGCAACATTCCCTCCAAGCTACACATGTGCGCAACTGCTCCAACATTCCACAAATGGCACAACGACATAGAGGTCAGTGTGCAGCTGCAATCAGAGGTCTGCACCAAAGGAAAAGAAATTAGAGTGAATGCTGGCCAGGGAGTATGAGGAGCTGGAGCTAAAGGGAAGTTAAGGCCTGGCACAGATCAGTTGTGACCTTGCTGAATGATGGTATAGGCTTGATGGTCTGAATAGCCTACTCCTGCGTTCTACATTCTTATGGATGCTCCTAGCCTTTCTTGTTCTACCTTGAAAACATGGTGAGAGACCTTCTCACACAACTACACTGCTACAAAGCTACACTGCTCGAATGGCTTATGGTGGACCAAGTTCACGTCCAAGTCACACTAGCCTATCCTGAAAATATATTACACTTCCTTCACTGCCATTTCATCAAATTCCACCCTGAACAGCATTGTGAACATCTTTGTACCACAAGGACTACATTGGCTCACCACCATCATCTTAACCTCAATTAGGATAGACAGCAAATGCTGGTCTTGCCATTAGCGTTCCCCCAAACTCCTTTAACCGGAGGGCCACCACACCATACCACAAGTGGAGAGACAGAAAAGGAAAATCCTTTGTGATAACCTCAGCCAATGCGGGAATTAAACCCACACTGTCGGCATTGCACTGCATCGTATATGAGTCAACCAAGCTAACATGATCTGTCTATTTCTGTTATTTGTCTCTTGCCAAAGAGGCAAGGTGTACATAGACTGCTTTGGAAATATTTGGGGCAGCATGCCATTCCACAGGAAAAGCGATTACCCTTCGAAGAATAATAAAATTACCCCTCCCAATGTACTGAAACAAATACAAAGTGATTTAAACACAACGATACCAGTTTTACTGGCTCAATAACTTTAAAATGGAACAAGGATTAAAAGGGGTGGGCATTCGCCATGGCAGATGAAGTAAAATGTGAACAGATGAGGTTACGCACTTTGGTAGTAAAAGCAGGAAGGCAGATTATTTGAATGGCAATAGATTGGGAAAGAGGGAGGTGCAACTAGACCTGGATGTCCTTGCACACCAGTCACTGAAAGTTCGCTTGTAGGTGCAGTGAGCAGCGAAATAAGCTAATGGTATGTTGGCCTTCTTACCAAGAGGATTCAGGTTCAGGAGCAGGGATGTCTTGCTGTAATTGTACAGAGCCTTGGTGAGACCACACCTGGAGTGCTGAATGGTCTCCTTGTCGGAGGATGGATGTTCTGATTGTGGAAGGAGTGCAATGAAAGTTTACCAGACTGATTCCCAGGATTGCAGAACTGATTTAAGACAACGGACTGGGAATCAGTTGGCATTCTGCACTCAAATTTAGAAAAACAAGGAGTGACTTCATAGAAACCTAAAATTCTAACAGGACCAAAACAGGGTAAACACAGTAAGAATGTTTCCAAGGACTGAGAAACCCAGAACTCAGGAGACAGTTTAAGGATATGGTGTAGGCCATTTAGGACCAATAAGAGGAGAAATTGCTTTACCCAGAGACTAGTTAATCTGAAATTCTCTGCCACAGATAGCAGTTGCAGTCAAAACATTGACTGTTTTCAAGGAGTAGATATATTTCTTTGGGCTAAAGGAATCAAAAGGATGTAGGAAGAAAGAAGGAACAGGGTAGTGAGTTGGATGACCAGCCTTAACTATATGAATGGCAGAGCAGGCTCAAAAGGACCAAATGACCTTATTTTCTATTATTACATTGATTGTATTCTTAAGGAATATTTTGACCAGCAAGTTTGTCAACACAAACAAAAAAATTAACAATCTAGGTTGTCACAGCTCAAGTATTAATACTCTGAACTATTCACATTTTAGTAAACTGAGGCAAAGTTTCACATGGAAGGTAAAATAGGTATGTTAAGTTGAGTGGCAAAACTAAGGAACAGGAAATTATAAAGAGAAACTTACATCCATTGAACATTATTTTTGGATTTCTTCTCAATGAGATGAATACCCTCCAACACATTTGTGATGTCATAAATCCTTCGCTTTGGCACATTTAAGACCTCTGCTGCTCGGTTTAAGTCCAACACTCCATCAGAAGACTGGCTCAAGAGCTGAACAACATTCTTTGTGAGCGGAACCAGTGAAGTGTTGTAGCGCGTTTTCTCTGATGGAGACTTGGGAGCTACATTAAAAGATCCAATGACATGGGTTTCATTTTGACAAAGGTAAAAAGCTCATGAAATTTTCAAATGAAACAATGCAGATTTAACAGGTGATTAATAGTAACAAAACCAGATGGGAGCAGTTTCTATTGCTCATCCAATCTGCACCTAACTTAGAGTGAACTACTTTTGCATTCTGAAATACATGTCCTGAACAAGACACAACAATTCCAATAGGGAAAACATGCAGCTCAAAAATGCTCTCAAGTAAACCATTTCTTGTGTCTATCTGCTAAGATTTATTTGGTCGTGGGGTAGCAATGGGAAAAAGATTCCCTTTAGAGGGCACTGTCCTCTAAAAGGGACCAATCCTAAACAAACGTCAGATCACTATGAGAAACACTGGGAAGTATGAACATGCTTTGGACCACTATTTTGGTGCAAAGTGACCAAGTCTCTCTCATTTACACACAACTCTCCAACTTTTGCCAATAGAGTCGATCCTAATTAAACAGACATGTTTCAATCATAAAAGCAGGAACGTCAGTGCTGAGAAATGGACATCTTTTTACTTTTGGCAACAACTTGGCTTGAATAGACCAGAAGACTTGAGCTCAGACAATAACTGAATTCAACTCTAACCTAGAATATTCAAAGCAATTCTATTATGCACAATCCATCCATCTCCCAACTTGAACAATGCAATGAGTACATTTTTGTCAAGACAATTTTAATCGGGTTTTGAGCTCATACCACAACGGGTTAGTAAAATTCTAGTCCAAAATAGACACCAATGCTGACATGATAAGAAAATACATATGTACACGCTCAGCGTGTCAGGCACAGAAGTCATCACCATGTTTTCAAAACTAACAAATGAAACTAAATTTACCTTTACATTTTCAGGCACAAATAATCGCTTAGAGATTGATACCTAATAAAGTAGTTCAGCTTAAGATTCGCAAATGGTCCCAATGGATTGGAAAATAGCTAACATAGCACCTTCAGTCAAGGAGGGAGTCAGAAGGCAGGAAATTATAGTCCATTTAGCCCAAAACCTATCCTTACATAATTCCAGGAATCCATTATTAAGGAGTTATAGAAAGCTACTTAGAATATCACAATTTGATCAGGCAGAGATAATATGGCTTTGTGAAAGGGAAATAGTGTTTAAAATAATCAATTAGAGCTTTTATTGAGGAAATAACATTCATGGTGGATAGAGTGGAACACATGGATGTGATACATTCAGACTTCCAGAACACAATTCTTTACAAACAGCAATTTAAATATAAATTGATGTCAGGATTTGCTGGTACAAAGGGATCTGGGTGCCATATACATAAACCACAATGTAAATAGCTGTTTCAGCAACTGATTAGGAAAGCAAATTGAATGTTATTTATTGCAAGAAGAATTGAATACACAAGTGGGGAAGTTTTGCTGCAGCTGCAGGCGCCTTTGGCAAGGCCACAACTGGAAGTACTTTGTACGGTTTTGGTGTCTATTTGAAAAAGAATAACTTTTGGAACAGTTCAGAGAAGACACACTTGAAGACTTGATCCATTCTTGGGATGAAGTGCTTACTTTATAAAAGAAAGGTAGAAGAGTTTAGGCCTATATCAACTGCAGTTTAGAAGCATTAAGGGGTGATCACATTGGAACATAAGTTTAAGGAACTGAATAGGGTGGACATGAAGAGGATGCTTCCTTGTGTGAAAGAGACTAAAACAAAGGGGCATACAGTAAAAATAAAGAAAAGTCTGTTTTAAGACAGATGAGATTTTTTTTCCTTGGGAGTATCGTTAGTGTATGAAATTCTTTTCCACAGAAGCTAGCGGAGGACAGGTCTTGATTTTTGATAGACAGGAGTGTTGAGGGTTATGGAGGGTAGATAGGAAAGTGGAGCCGAGACCACAATTTCATCAGTCATGATCTAATGCAATGGTCGGGCATTTTAGCTTCTAAGACCTTTGCTGCTATGAAATGGGGTCAGAAAGGATTGAGAAAGAGCATCAGCCCTTAAATTCATTGTGAATAGTCTAAATGGAGAAAACACAAGTCTAGCTGCTATTACTGCTGCAGCAGGATGGCAATCAATTTAACAAACATTAGGCTCAAAGTAAAACTGCAATTAAGTATTAAGTCAAAAAATGCTTCCATTCAGCCAAATGTCTTTGAAAGCGCAGATCACCCAGGAACAAACTGTAGAAACAAAAGCAACCAGGAAAGGGGTAACTTCCATCTGACCAAAAGATCTGTGCCTGGTGGACAAAAATCGAAGTTTGGCAGGGAAAAAATGACAATGAGCAAGGCAAAGTCTTCAAAAAAAGTCCCCAGGTCCGGATGGTATCTATCCCAGGTTACTGAGGGAAGCAAGAGAGGATACAGACAAGAAACATCTGCACAACAGAGTAAGTGCAACCAAAGTAGACCTCCCAAGATGTCCAAATATAGAGAGAATACAATGAAAAAGAAAAAAGGGAGGGCAATGATCAGTTCATAATTCAGTAGAGAACTGAGGGGAATACAAACAAAATACAGGGAGAAAAGAACAAGCAAACTGGAGAAGCAAAATAATAGGAGGGTAGACTGCTCGCTAAGAAATGCTCTGCAACATTAAATAAAGTAGCTGGCAATAAATTTCAGAGGAGATGTTGTCGAATGTTTGAGGTGCTAAAAACAAAAACATTCTGCAATTGACGTTGCCAATGTCAAGATTAAAGAAAATGGAGTTAAACTATTTGATGGGATTGAAATGTATGAGGGGGTATATGAAAGATTGATCATGCTCAAGACAGATAAGACTCACCCAAGTAGGGCACATCCTCAATTGCAGAAGGAAGTAAAAAGGTGGATATAGCACAGGCTCTGGGCACAATCTTCCGTTGCTCCTTAGATATTGGAATGGTGCCACAGTGCTGGAGAATTGCAAGGTATATTCCTTGTTTATCCCAGACAAAATTAATTGACACTTGGAAAAATGTGTATTGAAAATTACAACCAAATAGTATTTTGGTAATGATTAATTATTTGAAGTAGCAGAAAGGCTTGATTAAGGCAATGTAGTTGATTTGCATTTAACAAATATCACAAGATAGATATCAGCAAAGTAAAAGCCAAATGTGATTAAAGAGACAGTGCCTATACAGATAGTAACTAAAGGACACAAAAGCAGAGGGGAGTGGTAACATAGACACAGATTCACCACACCACTGTCTTTTTTGAAATATGTTGATAATCCAGACAGGAAAATTTCAAACTTTAGAGCCATGAAGTTCCAACAGGGACTTAAGGGAATAATAGTCATGTGGACAGACACAAATGGTGATTGAACTTATTCTAGAAAATTGTCATAATGTTTTCTAAGGACAAATAAAGAATGGCAATGCAAGCTAAACAGTAGTAATTTAAGAGATGCAGGAACAATCTGTAGACTTATGCACAGAGGTCTTGCAAGACAATAAGGCTGCTCAGAACAAGAGATTTCAGGAGCACTGGGTTTTAAGCATTCTTCCTGTAAAGCCGAAGTTATGCTAAACCTCTATAAATCATTGGTTAAGTCTCAGCTAGAGTACTATGTTAATTCTGAACATAACAATTTGGATTAGATTTTATGGTCTTAGCAAGGCTTTACTAGAATGCTACAAGTGACTTGTAGCACGTGAATAGATGAGAATCTGAGACTCTTCTCAGAGGTGGTTAGTGGGCGATTTAATATTCAAAAAAAAAAATCAATAATTGATAGATTGAAATTGAAACAGGAGACATCTAGAAACGGCTTCCACTGGTCTAAAGGACAGCAACCAAAGGACACCGGTTGAAGGCAACAGATTAAAAAAAGTTAGCAGCAACATTAATTTTTTGTTATTACATTTATTATATAATGAGATAGAACAACTTGGAAAGCAATGCTTGAAAGGATGCTGGAAATACAATCCTTTGTGATGTTCAAATGTGAATTACCAAAATACTTAAGGCAAAAAGAGTCTTCAGGGCTGAGACAGTGTGACAAGCAGGACATATTAGATAACTTTTAAAAAGAGCCAAGTCAGGCTTGATCACTCAAAAGATTCAGTAATCAAACAAACTTGCAAAACAGGCACCAGAGTTCAATGGCCTACTCCCATTCCTAGAGAGTTAAGGTTTAAACCATCATTCCTGTCACAAATGTTTAGGTGCACCAACTATTGTCAACTACTAATAAACCCTTCCTTTTAACAATTACTTGCCATTATGATTACCCATACACTTAGTCAAATTGTAGACATTGGGAGTTTATATTTCTACCGTGTAACATCGATAGAAAATGAACAATTTTGATTGACACTGCCCGCTTCAAATCTGTGAAAAAACCACCAGAATATTAATTTGTGCACAAGTGCATAGAGAATGGTACAAGAGGTGGCAAGTTTCTTGAAATCATTTCTCAAATCAAGTAGTCAAGACCACTCTCTACAGGTTAACTACTTGGAAGGTTGCTTGTTGAAAGTTGTTATCAAGAAAATGATTATGACTTCCTTCTGAGTGTACTTAATATACTTCAAATGAAACTTTGGCAAAGCATCTCCTGTAATGCCAGGCTTTTCCCAACTAATTAGAAGTTAGCTGAAGACATTAAATTAATGTTTATCAACAATTACAAAATGTTACATACACAATCACATACATCCAATATGTATAGGGCAGGCAAGGAAATGTTTAAATACTTGCTAACATTACATGAAATTGAATACCCTTAAAAAGTATGGCTGGCAGAAGATGGCCGGGTTTCAAGTCATTTGTGGTTTTATAAGGAAATTCAAAAATTAGATTAAAAGAATAGGTTTGTTGAGAAGTTGTAAATAATAGTAGCCAGAGGACTGACAATACTTCAGAAACTAGGAAAGGCAACCAAAACGTTGATAAGTAGGAAAAATTAGAATGAGAGTAAACTAGCAGGAACATAAGACACTGGATGTAAGGACTTTCACAACCAGTCTCCTTAAGAGTTGAAGAAAATTTTGATCCCTTAGAGGTAGAGGTACCGACAGGAGAAACTGGGGAATGAGGAAATGGCAGAAACATTGAAGATTGTTTATGTTTGTTTTCACAGAAGACAAATTAAATACCAGAAACAGAGGGCAATCCTGTGGGTTAATGTGTGAAGAGCTTAAGCTCACCAATATCAGCATGGTAAAAAGAAAGTATTGGAGATACTGAAAACAAAAATCCAATACATCCTCAGAATCCAATGGCCTACATACTACGGTTTTAAAGAAAAAGAGTGCTGCATAGATTATGATTTTCAAAAATCCTCTAGATTCTCACACAGGCTCAGCAGATTGGAGCTGAACAAAACTATCACTATTCAAGAAAGGAATAAAGAGGTAAATTAGAGAACTATAGGCCAGTTAGCCTCACATCCATCATCAGGAAAAGTGTAGGATCTATTAGGGCAACTTTAAAGTACTTATAAGATCACAGTATGATCAGGCAAATTTAACATGATTTTAATAACATGCTTGAAAGAAAGTACTCAAGTTTTGAGGGGATGTAATTAATACAGTAAGTTAAAGGAAACCAGTAGATGCATCATACTTGGAATTGCAAGGGCTTTCAATAAGGTGCCACACAAAGTTAATATACAAGTTCAGGGTTCATTTTACAACTGAAGATTTGTTTTTCAATGCCTCTAACCCCACTTAAACATAACAACCAAGGTTTGATATTACATGCATTTCAACTGAGACAGGTCAGCTGTGAAATACATAATCAATAGACACCAACTTTTCCTACTTTAAAAACTACCTGTATTTTAATTTTGGATGAAGGATGTACCTTCTGAAAGAAATGCTGCTGGCACTGTCAGCAGTAGGACGTCCCAAGTCAGCTGTAACAATAACAAACTGTAATGTTCCACACCATTAGCCCTCAAAATGTCATCCCTGCTTAACTACCATTGTCTAACTTAACCTCTCGGTTCCTAGGGTTGCAAAGATAGTGTCCTTACCTCTGGTTTCAAGTTCCACCTGCTCCAGAGGTATGTCATAACACATCTAAACAGGTTAATTTTTTAATCAACATCACCTCTTTCAAAAAAGAAGAAAAGCTGTCATTTGCTTATTCAAGTGGGCTGAAATAATATGACAATTCAAAGCAAGGCAATTTCTTTGTCCTGGCCATTAACTGTTGAGATCAGGGTAATTGGTCTATTCAACTAATCTGCTGTTTATGGAACCATGCAATGTAAAGTTTCTACATCATCCCCGATCTTAATTAATCAACTTGAAAATTAATTTAGATGGAGGAAGTTCTTGCGTGATGTCCCTATTTCTCAGCCAGGAAACCCAAGTTCAATTCCCACCTGCTCCAAGACTTGTGCAGTAACATCTCTAAACAAGCTGATTTTAAAATGTAAAATATGTTAAACTTGGAACACAGCATCAGGCCATTTATACAGCTTTTTTTGCAAACTGTTATAATTTTCAAAAGGATAAAAGAACTTAAAAATGCAGCTGTAATTGACCAAATCAACAGCTCATTTTCAGTTTCTAAAAATAAACAGAGCTCCCGTGCGATAAATGGTTTGTTGGAAGTCATCACCCACATTAAAAAATTAATCTCAAACCCTATCCAAAGCAATAATGATTTTCTGTAGCTCAATAATAAAAAAATGACGTTTTATGTCAATGAAGGTTTAGGTTTGAATTTACCTATCCAATCACTTGAATGAGCTTTGATAGCTTTTGATTTAAAGCTGCCTGAAGGAAAACCACCAGATGTAGTTCAAAATTTGTTTAACAGGAAAACATTGGCACAAAACAGAGAAAAACAAAATCAGCCAGGTTTTGCCAGTGTTCTAGTCACAAATAATAATCAGGTTTACAGCAATTATTCGACCCACTAGTTAACTTTTTCTGAAAAGAAGTCATTACAGCAATATCTAAAACTTCACAAATATCAGAATAAATTCCAACTTGAATTTGTAAATATTTTTATTCTATTAAGATAAATCAGATTACACTTACTTTTTGGACTATTTGAGCTTCTCATTGCAACCCTTCCTTTTCCTTTTGGAGTACAAACATCAGTAGCCAGGTACTGGTGATCACTTTCTTCCAACTCCAGTCTCCTCTTTGCCTATTGAAAGAAAAATAAACTACAATGCTTCCAATCAACCCATCTCACATCAATTCTCTAAAGATGTCACATAATAAAAGAGGAGCTGATACAAGTTTATTAGTTCTGTATACCAGGCCAGTTGGAAAGCAAGTATTGAGAAAGTATTAAAAGAATTAAGCAGCATAGGTTAAGATACAGATGTGAAATAAATAAACAAGATAAATGCAAGATAGAAAGAGTCTTAAAAAACAAAATGGAGCCCAAAAGAATTTTGCAAAATAGACTTTCATGGGTTACTTTCCAAAACTAGGATAAAACTCCAGCTGAATAGTACTGTTTTTCAATTTAAACAATTTCTAACTCAATGTTATCTCACAGCTGGACAACGCCAGAACTTTTCCTACCGTGGAAAACTCAATGCAACACCAACACCAAAGAATACTGGAAGTTTTTCTTTAAAAAGCTTGGAGACCACAACAATAAACAAGAAGCTAAAGCAAAACAGTTATGACTACAGATTCAATGAATGCACTAAAAATTCGAATGCCTTGTAAACGTGCCTACAGTCCAACCTGGATTTTGTAATTTCATGGGCAATGAGCAAGTCATTCACATTTGCATCAATGAAAATTCAGCCTGGCCCAGATTTATTTCAACTGTATTCAACTGCAATAGTAATAAATATTTTAACCTCAAGTTCAATTCTGGAGTCAGAATAACCACTGATTAACGTCTAAGTCACTATAACTTCTAGCAGAACATATATGCATAATATTAATATTAAAAAAGTAACAAGACTAAACTTGCAACTGGAAGCATTTGAGGGAAGCAAGGGGACAGTACCAAGGACTGAGGAACAGAGCAAAGGAGAGGATCTGACTTCGTTCTTCAATAAAATGCTTCTTCCTTGGTACAACTACCAGACACTGAAGATGGCTCTAAAGATGTACATGTATTCACTTTGAATCCTTTCACAGGCAGCAGGAATTGCTGTCTTGGCCAACATTTATTGTCCATCTCCAATTATGCTGGAGGTGATGGTACTGAGCTGCCTTCTTACATTACCACAGTCCATACAGTGTTAACACTCCCACAATGCTTTTGGGAAAAAGTGTTTCCAGTTACAATGAAGGGATGATATAATTACAAGTCAGCATGGTGTGGGACTTGGGACAGAATCTTGCAAGTTGTGCCTTCTTAGAAGGTATAGGGAGTAGGTTTGAAAGGTAGTTCAAAGGAGCATTGATGAGTTTTAGTGGTGCATCTTGTTGACAATACAAACCGCTGTCACTGCGCATCAGTACCACTGTGGAAATATTGAAGGTGTGGGTGGGGCACTAATCAAGGGGGCCGCTTTGCACGGAATGGTGCCAGGCTTCTTGGTTGCTGTTAGAACTGCATTCATCCAAACAAGTGAAGTGTTCCGTCACACTGCCAGCATTTGGAGTAGTCAAATGGTGAGTTACTCAAAGCACAATTCCTAGGCTCTGAACTGCTTTTGTAGAGTTTCTTTCTTAAAAATAGCTAGTCCAGTCCAGTCTTTGGTCAAAGGCTAAAAAAACCCACGATGTTATTAGGAGCTGATACAGGGATGGTTAAGCCATTGAATGTCAACTGGAGAGGATTAGATTCTCATATTGGAGATGGTCATTTCCTAGCACTTGAACAGCAGGAAACGTTTACGAATCACACATCAGCCCAAGGCTGTTGACATCTTGTTGCATATGGACGTGACTGAATTATTATGAAGAGTTGTGAACGAAGCAGATCAAGGTAGTCGAGACTTGGATACTACCCCAAGGAACTTCTGCAAGGTCCTGGGTTTAAGGTGACTGACCTCCAATAATCATGTTGCTTCATGCAAGAAATGATTCCAATCAGTGGAAATCTCTCTAATTACGACTGACTCAGTTTTGCTGGTTCTCTTTGTTGCAATCAAATGATGCCTTGGTGTCAAAGGTAGGAATTCTCACCTCACCTCAAGTTCATCTCTTTCATTCAAATTTGGACCAAGACTGTCATGAGGTCAAAGACTGAGGGGACCTGGTGGAACCCAAATTCAAACAGCAGGTTATTACTTTATAAGTGTTGATGACTTCTTTCAACAAATTGCTGATGAAGAGTAGACTTAAGACAAGAATTGGCTATGCTGGATTTGTCCCATTTTCTGTAGACAGGACAGGGTATTGATATTTTCTAATCAACCTGTTGACAGTGATGTCAATACTTACCTCTGGAGCAGGTGGGACTTGAGCATTGACTTCCTGTTATGGACCAGACCAAATCCCCTCAAAATACATTAAGATAGTCTAGATCCTAGCTTATTTTAAAAGCACTACTGGACAAACTAAAAGCACAAACAACTGGACTTTTAAAAAAACAACAATTTTTTTAGGTAATTCGGTAAAATAGATTGTCTCACATGCGATTCTAACAGCAGGAAGAGAACCCCAGCTTCTAGCTGTAACAGAGGAATAAATACTTCCACATCCAGCTTCAAGGCCCCAGTAACTGCAGAAAGCTAAAAACTAAAAATTGACGTTCTATGGAAGCTTGACCCCAACCCATTCAGGCTGCTTCTAGTGTTGCAACTTCAAAAAAATCCCAAAGGCATCACAGATAACAAGGTGTAGAGCTGGATGAACACAGCAGGCCAAGCAGCATCAGAGGAGCAGGAAAGCTGACATCGAGTCTGGACCCTTCTTCAGAAATTTCTGAAGGGTCCAGACCCGAAATGTCAGCTTTCCTGCTCCTCTGATGCTGCTTGGCCTGTGTTCATCCAGCTCTACACCTGGTTATCTCAGATTCTCCAGCATCAGCAGTTCCCACCATCTCTGAACCAAAGGCATCAAAAGTGCTTTTCTTTACGGATTTGAGCAAACCACTCCTCACCTCGGTCTCAACATTTCTTCAAACAAAAAAGGACAAATACACCTCTTGACCACAGTATCATCAAATGAGTTCAGAGGCAGAAACACTACCAATGCACAAGAGCCCTTACGACATGGGCATCCCATGGATAACAACTTTCATTGTAGTAATTTATTAACAATCTCAAAACTTGTACATAGCATTCAATACTTGCCAAATATATAAATGAATGATGGGCAGAAAACTTCAGTATCATGCACACATCTGTACTACACATGGTAATCATTCACCTCTCCATTGCTTCAGCCCTCCCCATTTATGTAACCACCTCCAGTTGTCCAAGAACTCAGCAATTCTCTACATCTGACCTCTTACTCAAGTTGATTGGTGGCAATGCTTTCAGCTGCCTCCGCTCTAAATCATAGAATTCCCTGCATAAATCTGCCCCTGTAGAATACTCCTTTCAGACAGAAAAGCTATTTTCTTATTTGAGAAATAAGCATTAGTCAGGACACTAAGAATTTACTTGCTGTTCTTCAAAATAGATTCGTGGTACATTTTACATTAACCCAAGAGGGTTAATGAGGCTTCAGTTTAACTTCTCATCCAAAACATCACACTTCAATGTTGTAAAAGGATATACAGGGCTAATATTGAAAAGGCTAATATTGAGTAGTGCCTGAAGCATCATCCACTGAGTTATATGGACTAGGGGCAGAACAGTTTAGGATCTCGAAAGATAAGCCCTACGATCTCAGCCTTCAAGAGTCTAATATGATAAACATTGTTGCAACGTAACTTGTATGTAGTTACTATTATGCAATAAACCACATCTTGTTTAAGACAAGGGACTCTGCTCACTAGACTCCTTCTAGCACACTAGACCAGGAGAAAGGACTGTGACAGCAAATTTACCATATAGCTCATACATCATGAAAACAGCAGAGACAATTCATCCTAAAACACAAATTGTGCACCAAAATATGAGGAGCTGCTTGCAAAGTTCCATTTACATTGTGTTTCTTAATTACTGGCAAACCTGCCCCTGAGTCCCAACAGCCACTTTCAAGTATACCCACTCTGCATGTGTATCATTCTCTCTCGTTCATGCTCTATGTACACCAAACATATGTAAAGTGGGCTCCCAAAGTCATACATACAATGTTCTATAGATGTCTATTGCATATGCACATAAATGGGTTAAGAGCACTCAGTCTTTGCACTTCTATATGCACACTCCACTTCAGTTACGGCACAATTTAGCATGAAGAACCATAGAATTTCTCAATTCTGAGCAGTGGAATTCAGCTGAATCATTAATCCTACAATGTAATCAATTCAGAAACATGGAACACTATCTGTATTTACTGCAAAATCATTCAATAAAATAGACAGTGCAAGTTGTTTAATTGCACTCAAATCAATCCAAGACAGCCACCTGAATCAAAATTAGTTGACAAATAAACTGTTTGGAGGTCTATAGTGAAGATTTAGGACACCTTTCAAATCTGTTGGTAATTGCTTCTGCATGCCCAATTCTCCTTCACAATGTGCAGGAAATAAACATGTTTGATTAAATGATTTGGTTCAGAGACTTGCCTCACTTGTTACAACAGTCATCATGCATTTCACAAGTTCACGCTATTTGTAAATGGGCAAAGAATGCCCCAAAATAAAATTAGTGTAAAACACCATCTATTTTCTAATGAATGCTTGCCAAAGTGTGAATGAACAGAACAAATTGTAACAAACTTACTATCAGAAAGTGAAATCTTAAGGTGCTTTAATTTTACTACCCTTTTGAAACTAACACCAGGAATACACAATACTAGACACTTCAACAGTTCTTCAGCAGTCCGAATCTACTGACTATATACTTCTCTGCATTCTGGAGTAGAAGAAACACCACAACCTTGCAATTATACAGCCCCTTTATTCAAAAATTTGTACCAGAAGACTTCACTAATGTCCAGAAAAACAAGTGGCAGTAAGTCCTACAAGTGTATATTAGCAGGGCGATCAGAAGCTTAAATGTTTGTTTCCTTCAAAATGTAAGAAAAACGAATACCCAGAATCAATTACACCTGGACTCAAATGGGTGTCCTAAATTGTACCATGGCAACATCCCTACTGTCAGAGGCCATTCA